GGATTTTAGATGAGATGAGTGAGTGTGGTTCAGTGTCAATTATTCACATATACAGAGTTTTGATTGATAATTTTGTAAAGGCTGGAAGATTGGAATTTGCTCTTGAGCTGCATGACGAGATTTCGTCATCTTCACCTTTTACATCTGTGAACAAGAATATGTATACTTCATTGATTGAAAGTCTTTTACATGCAAATAAGGTTGGTAAGGCACTGGAGCTGTTTGCGGACATGATAAGGCAAGGTGGTATTCCAGAGCTTATGACATTGTTTGACCTTATTAAAGGGCTCATTAAAATTAATAAGTGGGATGAAGCGCTTCAACTATCGGATAGCATATGCCAGATGGTTCGTCTCTCCAACTCACCTAATTTCTTTTACATAAAAATATATCTTTTTCTTTATTTATACTATGAACCATTTCATTTCATTGTTCTATTTTTTAGGAGTGAATGTTATACACTATATGCCCTAGAAAATGAGGAAAATCTAAATTCTAACTGAAAATATTTGCATAGATAGTGTGTCAAACTATTTATTTCCTAGAATTCTTTGAAGTTAATAACTTTAAATATTGTTTGAAAAGTATTGAATTTAAGGTGAGGGATTTAGTATTTGGTGTGAGTACATGCACATTTAAGCAAGTGCACTTACATGTCTATTTCTCTCCGTGTATGCATGTAAATTTTATGAGTGGTCATACGTTTTGCATGTATGCATGGACCTTTAAGCCATTATTTATTATCCAAGGACTGGATTAAGGAAATGCACTTAACTTAAAAGTCTTGTACAATTACTTGTACCAATTGTTTGTCTGTAAATCTGATAGTAAATGGTTGGGTGGACCTGTCTGTTAAGCGATCAACCTAGTGTCTGGTAGTTCGTCATCATTTATTGCAAAGAAAATTTTCTTTACATGTGTAAGATCATTGGTTAGTTGGAGAATTTTGCACTTGGCAGTTTTTTTTCCCTCAAGTTTGCCGTACTGGCATTTGCTTACCCTGAAAAAATGTCGGTACCGATTGATGTGTTGTAGATGAAGCCATCATAACTACATTATGTGATTGAGCTGCCTCAAGCTGTATATTAAGCTGTCTTTTGTGCTTTGTTTTTAGGTTATGAGGACCCTTGACGTAGCATGTAGAGATCACTAGGAACTAGGAAGAATTGTAGTTTCATTTTGACAAGATCTTTACAATTGAATGAGCAAGAATAACACAGCAGTAGCCAGTAGGATATTTCATCAAAAAGCATACATTGCCTTTGTTGGACTGTGCTGCAAGACTTTCAGTCCAGGAATAGGCATGCTTTAACCTTTTGCTCAGCTCTGCTTTGTGGATCTTAGAATGGGGTTTTTGTTTTTGCTTTTGTGTAAACTCAATCTTTAATGACTTTTTTCCCTTCTCCCAAGTATTTTGTTTAATGACTTAGATAATATGTTTTGTTTATTTCATTTGCTCGTCTTTTTAATTTATAACTAGGAAAGCGGAATTTTTAAAGACTATTATCATTTAGAAGGGGGTAATCTATGCTTGTGTTGTGAAAACTTCAAAGTATTGGAAGCTCCAAGACTCGTCTAATTTGAGGCCAGCTTAACCCTCGCATGAGTTTACTTGATAGTTTGGACCAATAATCTGAAACGGTTGGTGCAGCTGATATCTAAGTTGCCTCTGTTTTTCACTGGACATGTTTATTTATTTAATTATGTTTTGTTTATTTTTGTTTATTATTATTCCTTATATTCATTGTACTAGTCTCAACTAATTGAGCAGGACATCCATTGGCTTCTGCAGGAAGAGACATCTGACAGAAAGTAGTGTGTTTTCTGGACTATTGTGGTTTGCCACTGATGACTCATTGGACCCTGGTCTAAGGTTCTCTTGAGGAGTGGAAAAGTATTTGTGTGGGAGTCTTTGTGCAAGCATATGCACTGTGAGGATATGAATGACAGTTGCCTGCTTAATGGAGTGACCCTACAGTTTTTCTTACCTTGCGAAGTGGCTATAAATTGCAAGAAAGCTAGAAGAAATTTCTGCTTGCTATACGAAGGAGGTAAATCTTATTCAAATGTCCTAAGCATGATACTTCAAAAATTTCAGAATGGAGGATTTGATACCGATAAGGCATGCTTGACAGATACCATATGCTCCAAGTCTGTATCCAGTTTCCCTTTAGGAAAATTTGATTTTTGGATATGGCATGGATATGTGAGGCATACATGATGTACACAAAAGTGATCAAGATAGATACAAAAGGGGTTATTTGTAAAATTAGTATAGGAAAAACGGAGGTAAGAGTGTCATTTTAAAAGGTTTTGGAGTTGTGTCCGAAAAAGGGCATCTAAGTGTCATTTTAAGATGTTAAAAGAGTTAATATGAAAACAAAAAACAGTAAGTTAGATAAGAAAAAGAAAATTTATTTCATTGTTGTATCCGTTGTGGTACCTGTATCTTGTTTTTGGAGGTTTTTGGTATTGTCGTATCGTCTCACAAATTCTATAACTGTATGCATGCAGCATAGGTTTTATATTCTGCACCAAGGCTTACAGATGATGCTCCTTGAGTGTAAGCAGGTCACAGCTGCTAGAATTTATTTACGGCTCCAATAGGACCAATACCACTTTCCATTATGAATCATCACAAGGTCAGGAACTTAGGATCTTATTATTCATACCTCCGGACAGTAGTTTTTAAGTATATCGTTGTTTTTACTAATTTACTAGGTGCAGATAAATTCACTGTGTTCTTTGCTACTTGATCATGATAAGTATGATATTGTTCAGCTCTATCACATACCGCTGATGTTGCTCGTTGAGTGCAAAGCTGGCAGGTGTTGTGGAATTCATTTCGTGGGAACTGTCTTCGTTTTTCACTTGATGATGTCAAGGTAGGGTTGTTTTTAAATTATTCCTTGTGCAGTTTTGTTGATAGATGGGATATGCATGCAAACAAAAACAGAGGCACATACATGGTAGTTTGTAATTTACATTTCAGAATATTTGCAGGATGAAATTTCTAGGGTAGGGAGAAAACCTTAGAAAGGAATTCACAATTTCTTCTCATTCTTTTTTTCTTTTTGTTCGTTTGTTTGTGTGCATGTGATTCAGTCTGTATCTGCTTGAACTTATTTTGCGTAGTTCCTGTTTCTTATAGCAATTATTGCTTATGAATTATACATTGAATTTGATTAGATAAGGATAAGGATGATGTGATTGGATTGGAGCTATCTGGATCTCCTCCACAGGATCTCATAGGGTATCAAATTTCAAACAGCAGGCATTATACAGATGCTAGGAGCTCAAGTTAAACTTCCTTTTAACGGCTAGCGTTGCCAGAAAAGTAGTGTATGGGATTTGTTGTGGTACTGCAAGCATTTATTTCTACTTCATTTACCTTGAGGATAGTAGTTAATCCACAAACAAAATACTGTACTTGGTTTTATTAGGTACATCAGGTATGAGATAAAATTAGTCTCTTATAAGGATGACCTTAGTTTAGCCTAGAAAAGGGGTAATTACAATTTTGGTCACCTGGGTTAGGGTCGAATTTAATTTTGGTCACCGTGATTTCAATTTTCCCGATTTCATCACTGTACTTGCAATCGTTAACAAATCAGGTCCAGTCCTTCATTTCCGTCAGTTTGGTACGGGCTTTGTTGTCCTTTCGTCCCAGCCCAGCTCTCTCTCTCTCTGTGTCTCTCCTTCTCTCGCACAGTCGCATCCTCGTTCATTCATCCAAACCCATAGCAAATCCCTCATCTTCTCTCTCTCTTCTCAATTCCCAATTTCCATTCCCAGCCCAGCTTTCTCTCTCTCTCTCTCTCTCTCTCTCTCTCTCTCTCTCTCTCCTCTGTCCAGATCAAGCTCTTCTCCGTCCTCAGTGATACCGCTGCCACTCAAACAAGGGTCCCAGTGCAGTGGCCATTTTCTTTGGCGCCTTTGGTGCCTTCTCTTGGTGCATGTACGAGGTCGGCAAGGGCAACAAGATCCAAAGCTTTTTTTATATCTTTTTTGTATTTAATTTCATATTTGGTTACATGAGTTTTTATTGTTTTGTGAATTGAAGGTTGAAAATTGGATGGGTTCTGTGAGTGTGTGAGTAGGGTGAGTGAGAGGTAGTGATCTTTGTTGGGGTTCTCTTGGTATTTCTTTGAGAGTTGGGCTGGGGGTGGAAGTTGTTGATTGGGAATTGAGAAGAGAGAGAGAAGATGAGGGATTTGCTATGGGTTTGGATGAATGAACGAGGATGCGACTGTGCGAGAGAAGGAGAGACAGAGAGAGAGAGAGAGAGAGAGAGAGAGAGAGAGACAGACAGACAGACAGACAGACAGACAGACAGAGAGCTGGGCTGGGACGAAAGGACAATAAAGCCCCTGCCAAACTAACGGAAATGAAGGATTGGACCTGATTTGTTAACAACTGCAAGTACAGTGACGAAATCGGTGACGAAATCGGGAAAATTGAAATCATGGTGACTAAAATTGATTTCGAGCCAAACCCCAATGACCAAAATTGTAATTAACCCTTTAGAAAAAGTAGGGATCTCATAGTTTGACCATGCCACAATGTGGTATAATGATCTGAGCCATCAATTCTTAAGTTCCTCTTCAAGGATGTCGATGCAACAATCAACAAGATCTGGAATCTTTTAGTCATCTAAGTGTCAGTCAATAAATACATAGGTAAACACAATGTTTGTTTCGATAAACCTAGAAATGATCATGATGATAATCCATATTTGAATGGCTTGCCGGTTAAACAGTGTCTTCTTTGTAATGTAATTTTTAGCTTCCTTGGACTTCCGTAGTTATTTTGTTCTGTTGTACTTCCTGGGCAAGATTTTAGATTCTTTGGACTTCTGCTGTTATTTTGTTTTGCTTCACTTTTAAATCGAACCGTATTAATGATAGTGATTTTATATTTATCATTTATATTGATTTATTTGTTCTCTGGGTGTGCTGTAGTGTATCTAACCAATATGATGAAACTACTCAACAACCTCTAGAGTCATGTTCGAATCATAGTGAAGTGGATTTCATTTTTCAAGTAGGAGCGGTAGGACATGAGTTCGATTCACTAAGTGGCATTCTTGTGTTCAATAAATATGCGAGGAATGTCTGCTGCCTTGTTCGAATTTATTCACAAAAGGAGAAAGAAAGAGGATACAGATGAAATTGTAACAAAAATAAGTTGTGTTTCAAGCAAGCTCAAGGTGACTGCAAATGCCATGTGATGGTAAAATGAGTGCTGGCATTTGCTAATGCCTAAAGTAATTTGTAGCTGAGAGCCAGAGGGCACCATCATTTGAAACCAAAGTGTGATTGTTTTATGTTTGATTTTGATTTTATCTTCTTCATAGCTTCGGCTTAAAGATTCAGAGGCTGTAACATCCAATTTGCAGTCGGGAAAAATGGTTGAGGATAAAATTGAGCAAAACAAGGTGATTTTTGTTTGTCAAACGCTGAGAATGAATCATCCTACTATTTGATGTTAAAGCTTCGATTATATCCTGAACAATCTGCGTGTGAGAATTTGTGATCTTCTGGCTGAAAAAACCTTGTATATCAAAAGAGATAACTCAAGCTTTGCTACGGTTGCCGTCCAAACCTCTTGGAACAAATTTTAGAGAGGAGAGGAGGTGTGGGTGGCTGGATTCGTCGGAGGGGGATGGGCGATGAGGTGGGAGAGCTGGGAGGAGAAAGGGGCAGGAGAGAAAGGGAGGGACGAAGAGAGGAAGGTTTATTATTATTATTATTATTATTATTATTTATTTATTTATTTATTTATTTTTTTTTTGGTACCAAAGAGGGCTAAGCCCAAACAACAACTAAACATAAATCAACCTAGACCTTAAAAGGCCATCCCTGTCTTCTTGGAGGACACCAGTAATACCACCAGGAGGCAAAACAAAGCAATGAACACCCAATTCCATCTCATGCCCCATCTTAGCCAGAGAGTCAGCAGCAAAGTTAACCTCCCTGAAAACATGAAAGATGCTGCAGTCCCAGGAACTCTTCCAATAGACTCTGCACATGTTTAGCAAAGTAAGGAGGGGGTGATATGGCTCCACCTTAGCATTCAAAAGGTGCAAAACAAGAGTAGAATCAGTTTCAACAATAAGCTTTGTCACTTGCAAACTTTGAGCTAGCTTTAGACCATGATACAACGCCCACAGTTCAGCCACCAATGCCCACACTTCATTATTTATTATGCTACATAGGTTAGGAATGTGCAGTTTTTTTTAATGAAAAAACGTGTTATTTTGTTAGGATCCTTCACTAATGGGCTATTGAGATCAGTCCATAAGTGAATTGGGTTCTGTCCAGCTTTAGCCCATCCCTGTCTAAGTGTAGGGTCATCGATCTGATGATGTATTTATACCCTATTTGGGGTTACAGAAAGGATATGAATCTTTCTCTGCTTTATATTTCATTTCTGGTTTTGGTTTTTATTGAGAGATGCTATCGCTCTAACATCATCTCCAATGCTAAATACAAATTCTTTAGCCGTTTTCGCTCCATTGCACGACTAAAATGTTTGCGTTTTTATTTTTATTTTTATTTTTTTATACAACCGAAGCAATATTGGAAAGAGAAAATTGAACTTAGGACCTCAAAAGAGATAAATAGTCTTAAGCATGGTCTTAAATATCGATAATATCCCCGATATTATCCCGATAATATCTGATTTTTGGGGGTCCGATATTTTAACAACTAACCATATAGTTATCGTCAATATATCGATATTATCCCGATATTATCCCGATAATATCGGTCAACATTTTTATGAATGATTTGGGCAATATATCGAGATATTATCGATAATATCCCGATAATATCCCGATATGAAACTCAAAAAATGTAGAGAATTGAAGTAGCTCATTGAACTGATTTGGGTACTCTACGGAAAGCATATCTCCTAGAGTAATACAAAAGTAGCTCATTGAGCTAATAAACAAAGCATGTCTAGCCGACAGAATGCTCACATGCTTTTACAAAATGGATAAAATATAAAACTTAGCTTTGGATTCCTGGCTTGGTTTACAAAATGGATAAAATATAAAACTCACCAACGTTTTTTCAACTTACATTACTTACCCTACCATTCAACCACTCACCTGCTTTTACTTACCCTACCATGGCAGTAGGCGGGCAGGACCAGGAATTGGTGCCATAGGGAAGAACTATACTCGTAGAGAAAGAGGCGAGGGGACATTGTCAAGTCAAGAAGATGACTCGTTATCTATAACTTCGGACTCTGTTGGAGTAGGAAGTAGTAACTATGGTTATACTCATAACCAACCATTTCCCTACCCTTCATATCCCATTCCTGTTGGGATGGAATCAAGTGACACATGGAAAGAATCCGAGACTCAATCTTCAAATGATTTTGCTTATGGACAACGTCAACCAATCTCGGATCCATATGGGTGGCATGTTAACAATTACATGGAAAACTATTTTGGGGATTTATCATTTGATGACTACTCTTCAAAATATACTTACTCTACACATAGAGATGATGAAGATAGTGAAAATTTTGAACCTCATAGGAACTCTATGTGGTACTAAGTCACTCATGTATCTTACCATGCAATGTATAAAGTGTAAAATATTGTAGTAATTCATTATATATAAATGATTATGGTGTGTTTAATCTTCTTTCATTAATTACTACATATTTCTACACTTACGGTGTTTGCCAGCTCGCTATATAATCAACTTAAATCAATTAAATCCATCATGCAATGCATTTCCTTCCAATTTTTTGTGATAAACTAATAAATAATTGACTAAATAAACATCCTACAAAGTTTCAATAAAAATTTCCAAGTTTTTCTTACAATTTCCGTGGTTTTTATTCAATTTTTTCCGATACCGATAATATCCCGATATTTCCTGCGATATTTCCGTGTTTTTTGACTTCCGATACTTCCGATACCTCCGATATTTAAGACCATGGTCTTAAGCACTATAAGCCTGGCTTTTTTTTTTTCTTTGGGTTTTGAGTTAAGCTCAAACTGATATATGAATTTTGGGTTGATAAAAAGTTAAATTTGAGTTTTGTGTTTGTGCATTGGAGATGGCCGAAAGCGGTAGTTATTTTATAGTGTGGGCCTTATCTAAGGCTATTAGACGAGTCTCTATTTTCTAACCGTTCGATCAAACTAACCAATTTGATCGAATTGCTAATCAATTTGATCTGACGGTTAAGAGATGGGGCTTACCCTATAGAGACCCTACAGAAGTGAAAATGGCAAACCCGACCCGCACTTGCCTTTGCTAAACCCCTTTCCCGTCTGGACCTTCTCACACTTCACCTTAATGCTCTCCCTGAGTAGAACTAAACATGGAGCTCTCACACATTCTTCAATTCTCTTCAAAATTCTCATACCCTTTTCCCAATTTTCTCCATTTTCTTATAAATCCAATCCTAAATCCACAACCCAGAATCACATTACCACAATCCCAAGAAAATCCACTACAAGAAGACCCATTTCTCTCGCTGCACCAGTCCCACGAGTTCCAGACACAGTAAGTGCTTCTATTGTCAATTCAGTATGCTCTTTACTCTCTAAAGATACTCATGAAATCACAAGCGTTGATAGTTTGTTGAAAAACTTCAAAGAAATGTTGAGCTCAGAACTTGTGCTTCAAATTTTGATGAATTATAAGCAGTTGGGTAGGAGTAAAACCTTGCAGTTCTTTTCTTGGGCTGGATTTCAAATGCGTTTTCAGTTTGATGACTGTGTGGTTGAGTACATGGCTGATTTCTTTGGTAGGAGGAAGCTCTTTGACGATATGAAGTGTCTTCTTTTGACTGTGTCCTCGCACAAGGGTCGAGTTTCCTGTCGTTCTGTGTCCATTTGTATTAGGTTTCTGGGTAGGCAAGGGAGGATTAAAGAAGCCCTTTGCGTGTTTGAAGAAATGGAATCAAAATTTGGGTGTAAACCTGATAATCTTGTGTACAATAATATGCTCTACGTGCTTTGTAAGAAGGAGTCATCTGGGCATTTAATTGATTTTGCACTTGCAGTTTTTCGGAGAATCGAATCCCCTGATACATATTCGTATAGTAACATGCTCGTTGGTTTATGTAAATTTGGTAGATTTGAAACTGCCGTTGAAGTTTTTGGTGATATGTGTAAGTCTGGCTTGGTTCCTACTCGGTCTGCAGTGAATGCTCTTATTGGCGATTTGTGTTCATTTAGTGCGAAAGAAGGAGCTGTTGAGAAAGTAAGAGTGAAAGATCCTTATAGAACCTTTACAATTTTAGTTCCTAAAGTGGGTGGAAACAGTGATGCTATACAGCCTGCAGTTGGAGTGTTTTGGGAAGTTTATAAATTGGGTTTATTACCTAGTGCATTTGTCATAATCCGGCTTATATCGGGGCTTTGTCAACTGGGAAAAGCGGAAGAGGCTGTCAAGGTCTTGAAGGCCATTGAGGGTAAGAAGCTGAGTTGTGTCGAAGAGGGCTACTGCATTGTGATGAAGGCTTTGTGTGAACACTGTTACGTTGATGAAGCTAGCAATTTGTTTGGGAGGATGCTCTCCCACTCCATGAAACCAAAGTTGGCTGTTTATAATCATGTTATCACTATGCTATGCAAATTAGGGAATGTGGATGATGCTGAAAGGGTCTTTAAGATAATGAACAAGAATAGATGTCTTCCAGATGGTATGACCTATTCTGCGTTGATCCATGCTTTTTGTGAAGCTGGAAATTGGGAAACTGCTTATGGCTTACTGATAGAAATGCTTGGGTTGGGCTGCTCACCACATTTTCACACTTATAGGTTAGTTGACAAAATTTTGAGGGAAAATGGGCAGATGGATTTGTGTCTTAAATTGGAAAGGAAGTTGGAAACCCTGACGTTGCAGAAGCTGTGTAAAGATGGCCAGTTAGAAGCTGCATATGAGAAACTAAAGACAATGATTGAAAAGGGGTTTTACCCACCAGTTTACGTGAGGGATGCTTTTCAGAATGCGTTCCGAAGGTATGGAAAATCAAAAATAGCTCAGGAATTGCTAGAGAAGATAGATGAAATAGATAGAACTTAGCTGTTGATGACCTATTAACAAGAAATATTTTCCTCCTTTAACTGAAGAGTTGTGAGTTCTAACCGATTTCTTGTTACAATTCTTTTATATATGTGGTTCCATACATGTAGCATCTGTGTATACTGTGCTGGGGCAATCAAATAGTCCCTTAATTTCAATGCTTGGTTGGTTCATGTGTGCTTATTTACTGTACAGAAACGCTCTAACTGTTTAGTAAGTATATACGACGCTAACACTTGTTTGAGCTCACTCCACAATGTCATCTCATGATCCGAACCATTCGTGTGGGCCCACTCATTTTGTTGATTTATGTGTGCATCTTTGCTGTATGTGTTTCTATGTGTCAATATAAATATGGGAGTCACTCGTAAGACGGTGCGACCGAAAGTTTTAATATATTGATGTAAATCACTCACCTAACTGTAGCATCGTCTCTGTGGTAGTCAACTGCTTCTTATCAAATATTGGGATGCTAAGAGATGTTTTTGTTATCTTCATTTGTGCCCACATTTGAATCTGAATGTATTGGCCTAACTGTTGTTTTTAGACTTTTTGTAATATATCCAAGAGTTGGAAAATTAATGCGAAAAGCACAGCGGAAATACTTGAAAATTAATCAGTTGTATGGTCATTAACAAATCCGTACCATATAAGCCCGTGGAGTTAAGGGTAGTGAGAAAATGGATTAGGTCAATCGCGTGGCTTCCACTATGATGGCACTCAACCAAAAAACAGAACATTTTAAATCTCATGGAGAGGTAAATGGCTTGTAGCTCAAGTGAGTAGTTACCTCTCCCCTCTTATCGCTTGTATCAGGAAAGGTGTTTCTTTGCCTCTGGTTGAAAATTATTCTTGGCTCTAACTGCCCATTTCACATTGCTTGTTAATATGAAAGCTCTCCAAAGATGGAGAATCCATCATCTTGTTCCATGGAAGCCATTTGTGCATGCTTATCTCTCAAACTATGTTTTAAGCTGCGGACAAAACAAGCTATTTAAATAAATAATGATGATAAAATAATTTATGTGGGTATACAGCTTTAATCGGGAATATGCTTTCCCCTTGTACAATACAAAGAGACCTTGAACAAGTTTCCATCTATTCTTTAATAAACAAATCATGTATTTGTTTAGAGTCATAATCATACTTTTACACATCCATCATGCTTTGATCAATTTACTCCATCTACCACACGTTTTATTCTCTGCAAAAGCCAAAGCATACACTTTTTGTTGTCCTGCAATAATATCAAAGTGAAAATTATAAGCGTCAGATGATGCAAGTTTCTCAAACCCAATCTATCTCCAGAAGAAACAAAATAAAATTGAATCCAAACTGTATTTGGGTTTTCAGAAATCCTTCCAACTGAGGCCCTCGTATCAGAGTCGAGTTAGATACATATTCACACATAAGACGTTCTTGTGCAAGTTATGATCTGCAATAATGATGCAATACTTGCCAAAGGCGAAAGCAAAGATACCAACATTGTGGTATTTGAATTACATAAGCATGGTTGAAACTCTCAACTAAAGTTTACCTTACAATCCATTAATTAGAAAAAGAAACCAGATCTCTTATGTGCCTGTTTATCTATATGGAAGGGCAATCGAGAAAGTATCTATAAAACCCAGATCTGTAATAGACTAGATAATTCTAATCCTGGCGCCGATTCAATTCCCTTGCAGAACTGTTAGCTTAAAAGGAATAAATAACTAAACAGAGTATGAACTAGTTTACAGGTAGCATTGTACATCATGTGAAAGCACCCTTAAAGATCTTTAAAATCGTCTGAACCATTCTATCATAAAATAAATGCCAACATAGCAAAGGAGGTGATGACATGTAGAGGGCCATGGGATTTGGAATTCAAATGTCCTTTACCAAAAAAAAAGAAGGTTTTTTTCGATGAAAATGAAAACTCATTACACCAGTGCAACAGACTATAATGCATATCCTTTCGTAAAGAAACATATCAGACCTTGATACTCAAGAAGATTCCAACAGACTCTGGATGTCTTTCTGCACAAAGCAAAGAAAGATAAATCAGCAGTTGTCGTCAGCAGAACTGAATTAGTTCACCAAATACAAACAAACAAATAACCACAAAATCTGACCTCAATTTTAAGAGGTGATGTCACAGGAGCATATCTCTCCACAACTTTTCCTTCTTTGTTAACCAAAAACTTGGTAAAGTTCCATTTGATGCCATTTCCAAAGAGCCCACCTTTCTGTAATTTCAGGAATTTGTAAAGGGGCGCCTCATTCTTCCCATTCACCTCAATCTACAATGACCACATATAAATTTAATAACTTGTGCATGGATTAATTAATCTTAGTCACTTTATCTATGTGTAGTAGTTGCTAAATTATTAGCAAAGTCAAATCAGTCAAAGAATTATTTAAGGTAGAACCAGTTCTCTGAATGTTTATTAGTTTGAACAGCGCAGAGTCTTGTGCACAGAAAAATCTAGCACAACTAAATAGTAGCAAGAAGAAAAGAAATTTTTAATTAGAATTTTGCGTATAGATTGCTGAGAAACTTTTCATTTCTTTATTTTCTTCAATAATAAGGATTACCTTGTCAAAGATTGGGAATTCTGCTTTAAACCTTGTGCATGCAACTTCTTGAATCTCCTCATTGTTTCCCGGCTCTTGTCCTCCAAACTGGTTGCAAGGAAATGCCAAGATCTCAAAACCTGCCACAAAATTGAATGAAATGTCATGGACAAGGATGAAACACATGAATCAACAAATTTTTGGCATTGCTCATAGGAGTCACATACCTTTGTTTTTGTATTTTTCATACAAAACACTTAAGTCCTTGTAGTTGGATTGCGTTAAACCACTGCAACAAAAATTAAAAACAATTAAAAAGTAAGAATAGAGGCAACATAGGATATAGAGTTGTAATACAGGTTGAATGCCTTAATTCATTATGACACAAGCAAATTTATATAATCAACAAGTTCAACCAAGCATAGAAAACATGTAGAATCACCACCAAATGCTCCAAAAACAGAATGGTCTGCCAAGATCTTAGAAAAGAAAAGAAATAATTAGTGTTGCCTCTGAACCTTGAAGGATGAACATCTAAGTATCAGATAAAATGATTTTTCATGGGGTTCTATAACTTGCCACACTGCTATAGAGAGCAATACAACTAAAATTCCCTTTTAAGAAACAATCCACAGAAATCTGACCATCTGGGGAACATAACTACATGACTAGCTATTCATAGTACCCAACAGTAAGACATTGAGTACAATTTTAAAAGGAATTTTCAGATTCAGGTCCTTGATATACATTTATATTAATTATGGTCCAATGGCTTTTAAACTTTTAATTACAATTCAAGTAGAAAAGTCACAAACATATACACGCATGCCATGGACTTTAAAAAAAATGAATACATCATAAATTTTCATTCCACTTTATAAAATTCATACTTTAGAAAACATTTGTTGAGATTTATCAAACGAGACCTATGGTAAACTTCCTTGAACTACTGGTCAAAAAAGGTTTTATAGACCACAAGATTTGTATCATAATTTTCCTTAACAAACATCCCGATTTAACTCCAAGTAGCTGAAATTAATTGAACGAAGCACACAGTTTGAGCCACAATTAACATGGATTAAGAGTGAAGAGAAATAATTCACACAACAGATCAAGTTAATTACCATTGGGAAGCAACATTTACAATCAGGAGAACCTTCCCACCGTATTCACTCAGCTTTACATCGTTACCATGAATATCCTGCAATTAAATCAAATGGTATACAAATCCATTTCAGATCGAGTTATCAAATAAAATAGTCATCAATTTCACTGTATTCACTCAGCTTTCAATCGGAAATTTCCAAAATCACTTCATCAAATATAATGGCAAAATAACTCCAGAAACTTGAAGCAGAAAACAAAACAAAAGACGTACCACCCCAAGTAACCTGATCTGGCCGGAACGGCCAATGACTTTTGAATTTTAAGTCTTTAAAAATAAATATCAGGAACAATTAGCGGAGATTGGGAAAGCTGGAAAAAATTTAGGGGAATTTTTAAAAGCCACTCATGAATGTTATCTGAAGAGACAACTTGACAGAAAAGTATCTCACATCACCTATATCAGTGATCAAAGAAAAATATATACAATATTGGAAGTTGAAAACCCACATAAGTAAGCTACAACTAAAAGCTAAATATCAAATCACTTTAAAAAAAAACACCAACACTTTTCCACTCAGCCAGCCAAGCTTAACGCCACTATGGATCAAGGGTCCAACTAAATGGATTCACTTCTGTGTTACTTTGAAACCAATAAAACTTATTACTGCAAAATATCAAATCTTTCTTTTCCCAGCAACCAAGCATAATACATCAGAAAGCTATAAGAAGAAGAAAAAAAGATGAAGCAAAGCCAATACCTTGACTGTGAAATCGTATATTGATTTGGAACTTTCTTCAGCCATAATTTGGGAAGAAGAGAACTGGTAGGCGTAATACAAGTACAAGAAAGCAAAACCCAGAGAGAAGAGCGAGACCCAGTTGGTGAATTTCAACAAATGCATACCCACGCCCTTCACCGAAAGGAGTAACATGTGATAAGGTCGTCATTAATGTCAGCATTGACATTTCTTGCCTGTTTCCCTCTTTCGGAAAAATACAATTTAGTGTTCGAGAATTGTGACTATTAATAAAATCATTTGACCTTTCGAATGGTCCGGCCCATTGTTTTAGAAATTATAGACTGATTCGCCCATTCAAATACAGCCACATGTCCATTTTAAAAAGAAATTAATTATCATTTCACAGCTGAACTTTTCTTTTGAAATAAAATTAGAAAAATAAAAACTTAAAAATTAAAATTAAAAAACGAATTTCCTAACAGCCACCTATCTCCCAACCCAACAAACCTAATCCCAACTACCTGCTGTGACGGCCCCCCCTCTCCTTCCACAATCTTCACCCCTTATACTAATTGTAGACATGGGGTTTTAGGGGGAGGAGGATTAAACTGGTATTGATGATGAAGAAATGGAGTAGTCTTGATAATTAAAAACTGGTTCGTTCTTGAGGGTTGAAGCTGGTGGTGAAATTAACATTGTGTAGAGT